AAAAAAAAAAAAAAAAAAAAAAAAAAAAAAAAAAAAGTCCTGGTTAGTGCAACAGCAATAAAAACTAAAAGGTACAAAACCTGAAAAGTAAAGAAAATATTCCTAATTGCAGGCAAGGTGATTATGAGTGTAGCAAATGCAGATGAATTAACAATAAGATTATGAATCTTTAGCCAGTTCTCAAGGTATAAAGTCAACATACAACCTAAAAATACAGAGAACAAACAGAATGGTTGCCAGACAGGAGGTGGGTTGAGAGCTGGCCAAAATGGGTGAAGAGGAGTGGGAGACACCAGCTTCCACTTATGGAATGAATTAAGTGATAGGAATAAAAGGTACAGCATAAGAATATTGTTGATGATACCGTAAGAGTGTTGTATGGTAACAAATGACAGCTACACTTGTGAGCATCATAGTGTACAAACTTGTCAAATCACTATGTTGTACACCTAAAACTAACCTAATATGCGTTGGCTATACTCAAATAAAAATTTTAGGTCAACATATAAAATCTTTTGTATGTCTATGTCCTAACAACAAACAAATGAAAAATGAAACTAAAAAACAATTCCATTTACAACTACATATAACAAAATATTTAATAACATATTTTAGAAAAGATATGCAGGCGCCTGGGTGGCTAAGTCCTTTGAGCGTCCGACTCTTGATTTCCACTCAAGTCATGATCTCATGGTTCATGGAATCAAGCCCTGCCTCAGGCTCTGTGCTGACAGCAGAGAACCTGCTTGGGATCCCCTATCTCTGCCCCTCCCTCTCTGTCTCTCAAAAATAAACATTAAAATTTTTTAAAACCATACATAAGACCTTCACCAAAGACTTTAAAACATGTTGAGAAAAACTAAAGACTTAAACAAATGGAAAGATGTGTCATGTTCAAGAATGTCAAAATGGGGAGCGCCTGGGTGGCTCAGTGGTTAAGCGTCCAACTTCAGCTCAGGTCATAATCTCACGGTTCATGGGTTCGAGCCCCGCATCAGGCTCTGTGCTGACAGCTCAGAGCCTGGAGCCTGCTTCTGATTCTGTGGCTCCTTCTCTCTCTGACCCTCCCCTGCTCACACTGTCTCTCTCTCTCTCTCTCAAAAAAATAAGAATGTCAGAATGTCACTTCTCCCCAGAGTAGTCTAGGAATTGAACACAAATTCAACCAATTCCAGCATAATCATAATTCTTTTTACAGAAACTTAATATAAAGCTATTCAGTAGTTCTCAACTGAGGGCAATGTAACCTCTCATGGGAACACGTAGCAATGTCTAGATGCATTTTTAGTTGCCATCCTTGGGAGAGTGCTGGACATCTAATAGTTAGAAGCCAGGGATACTATTAAATATCCTGTACTACATGAGTCAGCCCTATAACAATCTAGCCCAAAATTTTGATAATGCCAAGGTTGGGAAACTTTAATCTACAGTATTCAAGACAATGTGGTACTGACATCAGAACAGTCAAACAGATTAATGAAACAGAATACAGATCCCAGAAGATGACTCCCTACATCGCTAACAAAGGTGACAAAGCAATTTAATGTTGAAAAGTGTTTTCAACACAGAGTTCTAGAACAAGATATCCATATGTAAACACTGAACTATGATTCCTCACTTCATATACAAATATTAGTTCAAAATGGATCATAGACCTAAAAGGCTAAAATGATAAAGCCTATAGAAGGAAACATTTAAAAAAGTAGCTTCACGACCTAGCAAAACTATCTGAGAAAAGACTTAAGTAGCAGAATACTGCTTAAAAGAACTAAAAGACTCCTACAACTCAATGAAAACTCACAACATATGAATGAATCTCACGATTCATGAGTTTTAACTGCACATCAGGCTCTGTGCTGACAGCTCAGAGCCTGAAGCCTGCTTTGGATTATGTGTCTCTGGCTCTCTCTGCCCCTCCCCCACTCAAAATCTATGTGTATCTCTCTTAAAAATTTTTAAAAAAATAAGCATTAAAACATAGACAAAAATTTGAACAGATACTTCACAAAGGCAAACAAATGACTAATAAGCACATGAAAGGTGGTCAATACTAATATTCACTAAAGAAATATAAATGAAAACCAGAGTGAGAAATACAAATTAATTCCCCAAACTACAAACTCAAGAGTGAAAATAAGCAACTAGTGAGAATGCAGTCACCCAAACTCTGATGTATGTATTGCTGGTAGGGGGATAAAATGGTACAAAAAGCTTCAGCAGTTTCTTAGAAGTCAAGCATATACCTATACTATGACCAGTCATTTCACTCCTAGGTATTTACTCAACAGAAATAAAAACATACACCTCCAAAGGCCTCATATAAGAATGTTCTGCTTTATTCATAATAGCCAGTATGTCTGTCAACAAGCAAACTGTACTATATTCATACAACAGAGTATCACTCTGCAATAAAAAAAAAAATGGTGATTCATGCAATATTCTAGAATAATGTCAAAAATACTATGTATAGAAGTCATGCATAAATATATACGATGCCATATATACAAAATTCAAGATGAAGGCAAAAGTAATCTACAATTTAAAAGAAAGAGAAGAGCAGATGCCTGGGGGACATGAGTAAGGAGCATGGGGATTAATTGAAAAAGGTCGCTATGGACCTCTCTTGGGTGACAGTAACATTCAGTATCTTGAGAAAGGAGTGTTGTTACACTGATACAAACATTTGTCAAAAGTAAAGTTTTGTGCAATCTGTCAGTTTTATTTTTAAAACAAGTTAAAAAAATCTAGTGTGGAATGGGAGTTGAGAGAGATACTACTGAAAGAAGAAAATGGCAGAACATTGTTGAAACTGAGTGATGGGCACATGGGGGTTAATCATACTATTTTGTCTACTTTACAAGTGTTTGAAATTTTTCATAATTCAAGATTTAATTTTTTTAATTTTTTTTCATTTCTGAGAGAGAGACAGCATGAGCAGGGGAGGGTCAGAGAGAGAGGGAGAGACAGAATCTGAAGCAGGCTCCAGGCTCTGAGTTAGCTGTCAGCACAGAGCCTGACGCAGGGCTCGAAACCACGAAGGGTGAGATCATGACCTGGGCCAAAGTACACTTACCCAACTGAGCCACCCAGAGGTCCCTCATAATTCAAGATTTATAAAAAAACAGTCTCTTAATTCCCCATCAGTGGAGGAAGAGATTAGGTAATCACTATCCTACATGTGAATTAAAATCTCTTCAAGCAGTTTAAACTTTCTTTTATATACTGAACCCTGTCCTTGACATTTTCTTTATCTTATTCATCATAGTTAATAGCTCACCTTGCAATCTATTCATGTCTTCCCTATCTCATTTACTGTCTATAGGGAGAAAAGGATTGGAGAGTTAACATTTCTTTAGCCCCCACTACATGCCTGGGAGTATGCTATCCACTTTGAATATATTACCCAGTTCATATCCCAAAACTGAATTTAGTATCTAAAATTTTAATCTTATTTCTTTACTTATTACTCCTCTCCCTCATCAGAATATATGTTCAATGGCAACACAGATCTTGCCTTGTTCACTATTTCTTTAAATGTGACACAGAGGAGATACTCTAAATATGTGCAGATCAAAGAATTAAAGAATATAACATCCGAGCTCACAAATACTCAGTTTAGCTCTCTTTTTGGTGGTACAAATCACTGCCCATTCCAGTTATAGCCACCTTGTTTTGCCCTTAATTTTGTTATCTTTATCAGTTGCTGTTATATATTTGTTTCAAGTGGATATGTGTTTGAAAACTTCATTTTCCCTTTATTCAGTATAATCCTAAAAATATTTTAATGTATCATTTTATATTTCAGCAGATCTTTAAATGGTGTATAATTTTTTTAATGATGTGTGATTTCTATATATGCAGTGTTACTTTTTCTGCTCTTATTTATATGAATAAAGAAGAAAATCCTGACGCTTTGATAGTCTCAAATTCTGTTAACATCACCATAAGGCTTAAAAACCCTCATGAATATTGAGAATTGAGAGTTTCTTACAGACAGATAAATTGCAGTTAATAATAGACTTATAATAAAAATGATCAATTTTACTTCAAAAAAATTTATCTAGGGGCACCTGGGTGGCTCAGCCAGTTAAGCATCTGACTTCAGGTCAAGTCATGATCTCACAGTTTGTGAGTTTGAGCCCCGTGTTGAGCTTTGTCCCAATAGCTCAGAACCAGAAGCCTGCTTTGAATTCTGTGTCTCCCTCTCTCTCTGTACCTCCCCCACTCACTCATTCTCTCTCTCTCTCAAAAATAAATAAATATTTTAAAAAATGTTTTAGTTTATCTAACAAAACAAAGCATCTACATAAGCCTAAAATCAAATTGTTTGTGTCTGTTAGTGAAAAAAAGAAAATCTAGATTTGTTCTCAGAATGCATTCTTTAGTAAATATTTGGGACATGGTTTTTCTTAGATTATCTTAATATCTTAAAGTTCTACCTCAATTCTGAATAGCTTCTTGATTCTTAAATATCCTCAAAATATCCACAGGGTTAAAAAAGAGGGGGGAGAACAAACACTCTTAATGGTACTGTAAAATACAAAAATTGAGTGAAAAAGCTGCTAACAACAGCAAATCAGTTAAGACCAAGATTTGTCCTCATTAGTTAAGCAAAATACTCTACCCAAAAAGTTGGTAATTGCAGTGTTTCTTTGACTAGCTAAAAAAAAGAAAAAAAGAAAAAAAAAAACTTTTAAAAAGATTTTCTAAGACCCTAAGGGAGAAAGCAAGAGAGAAGTAAACATGAAGAAACAGAAATCACTCACGAAGAATGACATTATACATATAAAATTTTATTTAAAAAGAGTTCACAAATGTCTAACATTGTTTTTTTGTCACAGATTCAAATCCAAGCTCTTCCAGATGCTGCTTTATGTTTATAGATCATAAATAACTTTAAAAAAAAAATTTAATTCAAATGTACCAAATTCAGTAAAGGGCTTAAACTAAAAGTTTCAAAGTAAATACTCATTTAGAGACACCAGCAAATATATCTGACCTTTTCAAGTGGCTTTCCCAAAGAGTTTCCAATCAGTTTCCAGTCATTTAAGACTTCTTCAACTTTGGAAATAAACCTAGGAAGGAGGAAAAAAAACTTTCTAAACATGTAACAGCACTTTTTTTTTTCTAACTATTGTTATACAATTTCCTTAAAAAAGTATTTTAATTTTTTAATGGTTTTTTTTTTTAATTTGTTTCTGAGCGAGAGAGAGTGAGCGAGGGAGGGAGGGTCAGAGAGAGAGGGAGACACAGAATCTGAAACAGGCTCTAGGCTCTGAGCTAGCTGTCAGCACAGAGCCCATAGCGGGGCTCAAACCCACGAACCGTGAGATCATGACCTGAGCCGAAGTCAGACATTTAACCGACTGAGCCACCCAGGCGCCCCAAAAGTATTTTGTTTTAATTTATTCTGAGAGAGAGAAAAAGAGTGCACACATAGGAAAGAGGCAGAAAGGGAGAAAGAGAACATTAGGTAGGCTCCACACACAGTTCAGAGCCCAACATGGAGTTCAATCTCATGAACCATGAGATCATGACCTGAGCCAAAATCAAAAGTCAGACACAACCAACTGAGCCACCAAAACACCCTTAAAAAATATTTTTTATATTTCAACATTTTTATCAGAGGAGGCTCAATAAGTTTAGTATTATTAGTCTAATTCACAGATGTAAAATAAATGTGGAAATAATGCTGTATAACACAAGAATTCTTAAATTCTGGGGGCGCCTGGGTGGCTTAGTCGGTTAAGCGTCCGACTTTCGCTTAGGTCATGATCTCGCAGTTCGTGGGTTTGAGCCCCGCGTCGGGCTCTGTGCTGACTGCCAGCTCAGAGGCTGGAGCCTGTTTCAGTCTGTGACTCCCTCTCTCTCTGACCCTCCCCTGCTCATGCTGTCTCTCTCTCTCTCTCTCCTAGAAATAAATAAAAACATAAAAAAAAAAAAAAATTCTTAAATTCTGATTTTTTTTAATAAATTTTATTTACTCACAATCCCAAGATCAAGAATTGCAAGCTCTACTGACCAAGCCAGCCAGGCATTCCGAATTTTGACTCTTTTAAAGTCTACTGCTTATCAAACAAAGGCAATCTGCTTTTATAAAAGTTAAATTAAGACTTGATAAATCTCAGGGCAGCTGGGTGGCTCAGAAAATTGAGCATCCACCTCCTGATTTTGGCTCAGGTCATGATCCCAGGGTTGTGGGACTGAACCCCATGTCCAGCTCCATACTAGGCATGAAGTTTGCTTGGGATTCTCTCTCTCCCTCTCTCCTTTCATGCTCTTTCTCTCTAAATAAATTTTAAATTTTAAAAAAAGAATTAATAAATCTCTGTATTAGAATGTATATAATAAATTTGGAGCAGAAATAAAAACTGACAGAAGTGCCTGGGTGGCTCAGTTGGTTAAGTGACCAACTCTCAATTTCTGCTCAGGTCACAATCTCACAATTCAGGAGATAGAGCCCCACGTTGGGCTCTGAATTAACATCAGCACAGCCTGCTTAGGCTTCTCTTTCTCCCTCTCTCTGCCCCTCCCCCTCTCAGGTGCATGCTCGAGCACGCATTTGCACTCGCTCGCGCTCTCTCTCTCTCAAAATAAACATACATCAAAAAAAAAAAAGTAAAAACTAACAGACTAAAAGGATACTATTAAAGATAATTATGAAACTAATAATCTTTTCCCTACCCTCAAAATAACTAATCTATTTAACTTTTCCTTTGAGGATATTTAGGAAATGATTTGCCTCCCTCTTCCCTCAAAAAGAAAACATTCAGGAAATTTGCTCATTAAAATAAAACATGTTTTGGGGCACCAGGATGGCTCAGTCTGTTAAGTGTCTGGCTCTTGATTTTGGATCATGTCATGATTTCACTGTTCATGGGATCCGGTCCAGCATCATTCTCTGCACTGACAGTGCTGAGCCTGCTTGGGATTCTCTCTCTCTCTCAGCCACTGCCCCACTTGCGTTTTCTCTCTCTCTCTCTCTCAGTAAAAAACTTAAAAAAAAATAAAACTAAAAAAAAACAAAAAATAAACAAAACATGTTTTAAGGGACAGATAGCAAGAAACTACAGGTAGATTTGTCAGCTTTAAGGAATAACTGACAGATTTTAATAGTAATCACTATCTAATCTTTAAATCTACTGATGAAGCACACCTATTAAAAACAGAATGAATTTTGACTAATAACATGATCAATCAGGAAATTAAAAACTGTCAAATCTCAGTAGTATTGTTAAAAGACATTCTCAGAAGGCCTTTACTACTCTAAAAAGCTAACTTCTTATGTAAGTATGATGTAATCTAATAGCAAAATTGCTCCCCTAAAACACCTACATCATATTACTAGAGTACTACCGTTAATTCTAGTCAAAATATATTCAAAGCCATCAGGTTTTCTCCCTCAGTGACAGTATCAGTTAATATTTACATCTGTTGTAAGACAGTAATGATAGTAATGATAAATCAGAGTTTTTATGATTTAAATAAACCTTGTAATTAAATCCTCTTTAAATTTAAAGGCACTATTAATATACTAATTCACTACTGGTCGGTTCAGTCAAAAGGTTAATTATCAGTTTTGAAAATGAATGCTCTAGAAATAAGTTAAAGGTTTACAAAGAAAGGAAATAAAAATTATAAATGTATCCACATGTGAGCAAAAATTTGCAAGTGAAATGTACACTGGATATATAAAGGTAAAAAACTGGGAACTATCTAATTGTCCAAGTGCACAGGAAGTTGTAAATTAATGGTGTATCCACTGAATGGAACAGTATGCATCCATAATAAATCATGTTTGAAGACTATATGAAGAAATAAGAAAATGCTCATCTCATATATTAAACGAAAAAACTGAAGGTACAGAAATAAGTATGTTTTGATACAGAATATTTACAACCCATTCATAGATTAGAAGAAATTTTCTCAAAATAATAACAGTAGCTATCTCCTGGTTGGTAAAATTACAGGTTTCTTAGATTTTTCTTTTTTATTCTACTGTGAAGTATTATAAAAATCATTTAAAATAATATTGCTTTCGCAGTAAAAGGAACACATTAAAGTATTTATTTTATGAATTCTATCAGTTACTAGCTAAGAGAAAAAAATTGGACTCTACTGAAGTATGGAGATTTGACTAAAAAACTGAGTAACTATCCCTGAAAGCTCTCAAGACCTCAGTTGAAGAGTCATTTCCTCTGTCTGCTCATTCTGTTAGGTTCCTTTTTATATGCTCTCATAAAACCAGGTTTCTTTCCCTTCTCAGTTCTTATTTCAATTGTAATTACAGATTTATGTGTATTATAATTTGACTCATGTCTGTCTCTTCCATTAGACTGTAAGTTAAGAGCAGGAATTGCCTGTTTTTATTGATCACAGCCCTATGTTCTGCACTGTATTTGACACATGGGCACTCAATAATATTTCTGCAAAGGACAAATGATTAAAAAGTTAGAGGGTTCTTTTTTTTTTTAATGTTTACTTATCTTTGAGAGAGAGAGAGAGAGAGACAGCATGAGTGGGGGAGGGGCAAAGAGAAAGGAGAGAGACAGAATCGGAAGCCAACGCCAGGCTCTGAGTCGTCAGCAGAGAGCCCGATGCGGGGCTCAAACTCACCAATCCGGGGCTCAAACTCACCAACCGTGAGATTATGACCTGAGCTGAAGTCTGACGCTCAACCAACTGAGCGACCCAGACATCCCTAAAAGTTAGGGGGTTGTATTCAGTCCTCTGAACAAAGTGCCTATATGGCTCCTAACATACTAACAAGAACTTTCATTCACACATTAAACTCAAGGTTTAAAAGACTCCAAAGTCTTAACATTTTCCCATGAGTTGTAAAACACTACTTTAGCTCTAGAAACAAGAGTATAAAAGTCAAAAACCAAATTTCCTACTTGGTAGTAGTTCTCATAACCGTGTTAACAATTATTTCCATATAAGGAGATAATGGAGTTAATACTACACTTTAGGATATTTTAAATATTTAGGTAAGGAAATGCTTCATTTGATACTCTTGTTGCTTCTTCAACCCTACCCTCCAAGATTCAGATTATATTTTTCTAACTACCTTCAAGACATCAAGTTATTTCAAATTCAACAGATCTAAAACTGCACTCTTTCCACTTTGCCACTTTCTTCATTCTTTCAGGCAAGAAACTACAGCTGCATGTTTCTTTCTACTCTAACATTTCATCAAGTGTATCTATCTAAAAATCTTTGAAATATCTTACAGTCCTTCCACCAATCCTCTCCCTTTTCTGTCTCTAAATCACCAACCTAACTACTGATCAAAGTAAGTCACTAGCCTTCATTTTAAATGGTTCCTTCAAAGTGTGGTCTCCTGACCAGCAACATCAGCATCACCTGGGAACCTGCTAGAAATGCAAACTTTTAGGCCCACCCCACGCATGATCAGAAACCATGATTCTGAAAGTACCAAGTCCAGAGATTCCTTTACTTACTTATCTTTGGAGACTGTCCCATGACCTGCCTTATTTCAGTAATCTTATTTTCTTCCCTTGAATGGATATCCTTCACTCCAGTGAAGACCTCTTCATTAAGTCCCAAAGGTTCTTTTTCACCTGTCTCTGCCCATGCTAGTATCTTCTCATGCTGAACCAACCACTTCCCACTTTCAAGGCTAAGCTCATTTCCTATCTTTTCTATGAAAATATCTCCATTATATCATCTTTCTTTAAACTACTATTTTTATAGTTAATATCAGTTGGCTTACAATTTAACCATTTACTGTTTTAACACATGGATCAGGGTGCCTGGATGGCTCAGTCAGTTAAGCGTCTGACTCCGGCTCAGGTCATGATCTCACGGTCTGTGGAGTCCAGCCCGGTGTGGGAGTCTGTGCTGACACCTCAAGGCTGGAGCTTGCTTCAGATTCTCTCTCTCTTTCTCTCTCTAAAAATAAACAAATAAACCTAAAAAAAAAGAATCCCAGGGTGCACCTGGGTGGTTTAGTCGGTTAAGCAACTGACTTCAGATCAGGTCATGATCTCATGGTTCATGAGTTTGAGCCTCAGTCCGGCTTTGTGCTGACAGCTCTGAACCTGCTTGGGATTCTGTGTCTCCCTCTCTCTGTGCCCCTCCCCAGCCTCAAAAATAAAATAAATATTAAAAAAAAATTTTAAAAACTACCACATGGATCAAAGGTTTTGTTTTGTTCTTTTACATTAATATTAATAATCCTGGACACAGAATACCTGCTCAATACAGCCTTGCCAGTATGGTTATGTCTTACTGACTTTTCTGTTTTGGAGGGCACCACTAGTCAAACTATAATTCCAGGAGAGATCTTTTATATTTTACTACGTCATCTAAATGTCATAACATGTACAAATTTCCTCTCCAACCAGAAAGATTATAAAATGTTGCAACAAACTAAATATTGACCTGACACTCAGAAGGGTCTCTGTGACACAGACCAGAAAATTTCTCAAGGTAAGCTATCACTTCTCCACAAAGCGCGCTTTCACCTAAATTTCAATGTTCCAACAATTGCTCTCAGCTGTTCAGTGAGGTCGGCAACGCAAAGGAAGCCTGGGCACATCACCCACTGAAATGCAACAACATGAATCAAAGAGTTCCAAAGCCTTCTGCAGCCTGTCTTAAAAGGTTATTCGAAAAGACCAGATGGAGATGGTGGAGAGTGGCAGATGAACAGCCACCATCACTATGAAGGCCTCCTCCAGGAAAGGGTATGCGATACACACAGGAGGAAAAAAGCAGCTGCGAAGTGTACTGCTTATGATCACAAAATGTGTTAAACGGAAATGAAAACACGAATGGACGTGGTCGCCACGGGCATTGTTACTGCGTCTGGGCAACAACCAAAGTCTGAGGAAAGCGCTCCCAGGGTAAACAAAACTTTTTCTGAAAGCCGCATCTCAGGTGTTTGGCTGATGGGGGCGGGCCCGGGCCTGTCAGACGCGAAGAGGCTTACAGCTGCCTAGAGACCGCAGAGCTGGGGGGCTCGCGGGTCTTTGACCTCAGAAGTAGTATCACATGTGGTCTATGTTGGGGATAGGCAGGGAGACTCCAGGGCCCAAGGCACTGATAATCAATGATACGACTCACTCACCTTTCCCATTCCGAGGCAGTGGTGAAGTCTGTGATCTCAAAAACCTCGGACTCGGGCTACGGGAGAGGGAAGGAAAGAAAAACAGATTGAGCCCCGGGGCGCTGACACGGAAGAGCAAACTTACAGACAGGGATGGAAAGAGAGCAATCACCTCACCTCACTGTCGGCCGCCATCTTGAGGAGCGCCGGGAAGGGCGCTAGGCATGCCGGGAAGAAAGCCGGGGCTCTGTGGTAAGGGGAAGAGGAGGGCGGGGAGCAGGGGAGGGAGTGGGGCGGGGCCTGAGCGGGGCCTTGGCGCAGCACCGCCCCCTGGTAGTGAGTCCTGTCCGGAAGTCTTTTTTTTTTTTTTTTTTTTTACAAATAGTTTATTGTCAAATTAGTTTCCACATAACACTCAGTGCTCATCCCCAAAGTGCCCTCCTCCATGCCCATCCCCCCCTCCCCCCCACACCCATCAGTCCTCAGTTTTTGTCAGCATTCAAGAGTCTCTCATGGCTTGCCTCTCTCCCTTTCCCCCACCATTTCTGCCCTTCTTCTCCCCCTTGTTCCTCGGTCAAGTTCCTCCTAATCCTCCTATACGTGCAAACATATGATATTTGTCCTTCTCTGCCTTACTTATTTCGCTCAGCATAACACCCTCAAGGTCCATCCATGTTGCTACACATGGCCAGATTTCATTCTTTCTCATTGCCGTGTAGTATTCCATGGTATAGATAAACCACATCTTCTTGATCCATTCATCTGTTGATGGACACTTAGGCTCTTTTGTCCGGAAGTCTTTAAAGGCTGAAATCGTTTGATTTAGAACAAACAAAAAAGCTTTAAGTTGGAAATTTTCCTCTAGAGTAATGAATTCAAGAAGAGAACACAAGCAAAGAGGTAAGACAAGGTCCTAGATTCCTGTGGATAAAATTGTATTAAAAAACCTAGGGGCGCCTGGGTGGCTCAGTCAGTTAAGCATCCAACTTCAGCTCAGGTCATGATCTTGTAGTTCTCGAGTTTGAGCCCCATATTGGGCTCTGTGTTGACAACTCAGAGCCTGGAGCCTGCTTCAGATTCTGTATCTCCCTCTCTCTCTCTCTGCCCCTCCCCTACTCACTCTTTGTCTCTTGCTCTCTCGATTTCTCTCAAAAATAAACATTTAAAAATTAAAGAAAAACACTAAATCACATTGAATTGAATTTGTTTTCATGCAGTCTGTTTACTGATTGCAAGGCACAGAGCTAGGTGTTGTAATTTCCACCCTCCTCTACCTCCCTCACAGAATTTACACAATTTGGTTAAGTCATGAGATAAAATCGTTGTGCTATAGTTATCTGCTTTCTGGGAAGAGCAACATAGTGTTCAGTGAATACTTCTCTTTTTAAGCCATTAAGAAACAGAAGGGGTGGCAACTAGCAGTTGATAATTATAACTCATACATACTGAAGTATATATCATGAAATGATACCCTGTCTAGGATTTGCTTGAAAATAATGGGAGGGGGATGTGGATAGAGCTAGTAATAAAGCCAGATTAGCTATGAGTGGATAATAGTTTAAGCTAGCGGGCCGCCTGGGTGGCTCAGTCGGTTAAGCGTCCAACTTTGGCTCAGGTCATGATCTCACAGTTCGTGGGTTCGAGCCCTGCGTTGGGCTCTGTGCTGACAGCCAGCTCAGAGCCTGGAGCCTGCTTCAGATTCTGTGTCTCCTTCTCTCTCTGACCCTCCCCTGCTCACTCTCTCTCTCTCTGTGTCATGAATAAATTTTAAAAAATACATTAAAAAATAGTTTAAGCTAGTGATGGGTACATGGGTGTTTATGCTATTCTCTCTATTTCTGTTAGAGCTGATAATTTTCTTTCTTTTTAAAAAAATTTTAATGTTTTATTTATTTCTGAGACACAGAGAGAGACAGCGTGTGCAGGGGAGGGTCAGAGAGAGAGGGAGACACAGAATCTGAAGCAGGCTCCAGGCTCTGAGCTAGCTGTCAGCACAGAGCCCTGCATGGGGCTCGAATTCACGTGCTGTGAGATCATGACCTGAGCCAGTCGGACGTCCAACCGCCTGAGCCACCCAGGCACCCCTAGAACTGATAATTTTCATTATTAAAAGCTTAAAAAGATTAAACCTCATTTAATGAGTTCTGCAGCCTACAAGAAGGGAATTGGTGATAGAAGACCAAGAAGTTCAGCTTCAGCAATAAAAAATGTTAATCTTAAAATAAGTGTTAGATATATCAAATATTTGATGGTATAGATAGGACAGATGAGGAATCTAAGGTCAGAAGAATTTTAAGAGCAATAGGTATTGCTAGTGCCAAACCTTGAACCCCTGTCTTCTAATGTTCCTTCTAGTTTCTGTCTACCATACCAATGAGGGATTGTGAGTTACTACTGCAGCAGTCTTTCCCAAGAGGTCTCAACTTGCATCCTCCATTCATTTACAAGCATTTATTAAACACCTAACTATAAGCCAATCACTATGCTAGAATAGTAAGATGTATTGTAGATATGGTCCCTGACTTCAAGGAACTCAGTGTCTAGTAGGGAAACAGGAAGTTTGCTCCACAACAGAATGAAGAGGTGCTGCATATATCAGCATTAGTATTAGCAACACAAGGTCAATGGTAATCTTAACAAGAAGAATCTTGAATGAGAGCAGAAGGATAAGATGTCACAGCCAGGTTGGGGGTGGGGAAGGCTTCTAAACATGTCCAGAGGTTTGAAGGTAGGAAAGTCTGATCTGACCAATGAACCAAAAGTGAGCACCTCGAACACAGTGTTTGTGATGCAGTTGGAGACATAGGAATGGGCCAGATCACTCCAGGCCAAGACTGGACTTTATTTGAAGCACAACGAAAGTCACTGAAATTTTTAAGCAAGACACCAATGTGATCCAATTTACATTTTGCCAAAGTCTAGATGCTATATGAATAGATGGGAGGGTAGTGTTTGCAAAAAGAAGTAGGGACAGCTGGTGACTATTAATGCATCCAGTGAGAGATAATGGTGTGAAGGTTTGGACTAGGGTGGTCAGCACACATGGTGACTTATTTGATATGCATTTTGGAGATATGATAGATAGGACTTGATGATGGATTAAAAGTAGAGAGAAGGGAGGGATGCCTGAATGGCTCAGTCAGTTGAGCATCTGACTTCAGCTCAGGTCATGATCTCACAGTCGGTGAGTTTGAGCCCTGAGTCAGGCTCTGTGCTGACAGCTCGGAGCCCGGAGCCTGCTTTGGATTCTGTGTATCCCTCTCTGCCCCTCCCCCACTCTCACTTGCTCTGTCTCTCTCTCCCTCTCTCAAAAATAAATAAACATTAAAAATTTAACAAAAATAAAAGTAGAGATAAGGGAAGGGAAGGAATCAAAGATAATTTTCAGGTTTCTGGCCTAAACAAATGTGTCAGGATGATGCCGTTTCCTGAGATGTGCAAGACTGGATAGATCAAGGGAACCAGCATTTGGTTTGGGAAGTGGGAAGTGTGACAGGTTTGTAAGATACTCAAGGAGACTTGTAAAGGAAAAAATTGGGTGTAAGACTAGGACCCAGAGGCAAGACCTGGGGGTGAAGCTATGAATTTGGGTGGATTTTAATTCAGAAGAACAGATGAGGTGATTTAAGAAAATAATACAGAAAGAGAAGAAAAGGAGCCTCGGCTTAAGACCTGAAAACATTTTATATTTAGAGGATGGATAAAGGAAAAGTATCCAGTGAAACAGGGAGAAAAGTAATGGCTGGAGCAAGAGGAAAGCAAGGAACGAGGATGGCACAGAACCCAAGAGAAGAGTATGTTTCCAGATAGTAAATACTGACTCCTGAAAAGCAAATGAGAGGGAGATAGGGCCAAGGGTGATCAATTATTACTGTTTCTTGGGGTTTTCCTTTGTCTTTAAGGCAGAGGAGAGCAGATATGTTTGTGTCTGATGGTAATCTTAGAGAAGTCCTGCTTCAGGAGGTACCCCCCTCTGTCCCCCACCCACCCACCCCGCCCCCACCCCCCGCCACACACACACACACACACACACACACACACACACACACACAAGTAGCACTTCCTGGAGTCATGTGCAGCAAAGTGGAATTCAGAGCATGAATACCACGAGTGAAGGAAGGATATGTAGTTAGGTTGGCTTTTTTTGAGAAGGAAAAGAAGGGAAGAAAAAATGGGTAGGGACACAGACATTGGGAGATGTGTACATACCAAAGGAGAAGAGTTACTTGTCCACTTCTCTTTTGAAGATTCCCACAAACTGAAATAAACCTGTAGTTTTTAAGGTCAGACATATCCATGTTCAGCCATTTACTAACTACAATAGATGACTGGGGGAAAATTACTTAACTCCTCTAATTCCAGTGCCTTCATTAGTAAAATAGGACTTCTAAGACCTCTTGTTGCAAAAGACTATGGCAAAGATTAAGTTCTGTGTACCTGTGTAAAATGGTTAGCACAGTGTCCTGGCATGTAGTAGGTGATCAACTGTGGTGGTAGCGTTTATAATGAATGTACCATGAAAACCAAAAAGTGCTACTCCCATGTAAAGCATTACTTTGTTTTTCCTCTCTGCTTATCCATGAAGAAGTTTTAGTGCATACCCATCTTAGAAACTGTGTGAAACAGCATTCTCGAGTTGCTAGGTAAAGTTTTCTTCCAAGATATTTTTGGCTTCTTGTCTTCTCCCTGGAGAAACTTTTAAAATAAGTTATTTGCTAAAGCAAAGTGTGAAACCAGGATGCTAATGATGTAAAGTACCCAGGGGAGACACACTTTTATTAGATTTTCACTGGTTCACAAGGCAGAAAAGATTTTGTTTCTTCGATATTAAGAGCTCTTTTGCTATAGGTCCAAAGGCAAGAGTTTCTCTGTTGCAAGCACATTTCCTCCCTGGCATAATTTTCAGTTATTTCAAGGTGTTAACCAATAATAGCCAGGGGGAGAATTTTGACGCATAGGCAATTTAAGGGATTAGATGCCTGGAAAAAAAAAATCACCGTTGGCTTAGTCCTCAGAGGAATTGTGGGGGCATAACAGTTTAATTAGGTCTTAGTGAGACAGCAAACATTGCAAGAGGAGAAAGAGCAGTGGGATTACACCATCCTCATCTACCTGGATGCCTCTGTGCAGGGGCAACTACAATAGAAGGTACACCTGGAAGACAAGTACCTGCTATGAAAATAAGAAACCCTTAAGAGAGAAATCTCTAAAGCAAAATTCTCAGACAGCATT